AGCTTCCACACACACTGCCAAGATGCCCAAGAGGAAGGTCAGTTTGGCCGAAGGGGCGGCGAAGGAGGAACCCAACAGCAGATGGGTGAGGTTGACTGCTAAACCTGCTCCTGCAAAAGTGGAAAAGAAGCCAAAAAAGGCAGTGGGAAAGGATAAATCTTCAGACAAAAAAGTGGGGGCAAAAGGCAAGCCAAGGGAAAACAGGCCGAGGTGGCTGATCAAGAAACCAAGGCAGATTTACCTGCGGAAAATGAAGACTAAAACGAGGAGAGCGCAGCCTCTGATGAAGCCGAAGAGAAAGAAGCCACGCCTGATTAATCACACACGGTGCCCCATCGGTGCTCCCTGCCTCCCTTCTTGTACAATCCCAAGGAATAGTCTCATCAACTATTTTGTAAATGCAAGTTTTTTAGTAGCTCCAGAAACATTTTTAAAAAGGAGGGAATCCCACCTCATCACATTTTTTAAGTGTAAATGATTTTTTTAGAGGTGAAATCATTCGCTGGTTGTTTACTTTTAGGTTCAACCAAAAAATAGTGTGATACTGAATTGTGGCAGCCTCTGGCTGTCTCGGGTGTCAGCTTAACCTTGCCTAGGTGGGGTTAGTTTTACATCCTGCAATACAAAGCGTACTAAATGGCAATCTGGAGTCACTGTCGTGCATTTAATGTCTTGGATATTTCAAATGACTTCTATTCCCACATTGTTTTTAGTAGTGCTGTTCCCTACAGAAAACTACTTCCTGATTGCTGCCCTGTCAGAATCGTGTGCACTCTGTAACATCTTTGGTCGTGGAAGTCCAGTCTGCCTAATTTTGTTAATGTGCTGTGAAAGATCGAAAATTTGAGTATGTAGTGTATATGACACAAAATTGTGCACCAGTGGGACTTAAGCAACACTTTGTCAGCATTTGAGGATACTGGTACTTAATCCTCTTATGGAAAATTTGCCTCCAAATTTGAAGCTGGAAAGTCACTGGAGTAACTGAAAAAGAAACAATACATGGCATTTTAGATTTTTGGTACATGTGTTAAAAATTGTGTACAAAGTGAAATGTCTATACTGATCCTCAACACAACCGATAAAATCTCAAATATGGAAGACAAAAAAAAAATTATTTTTTTAAATCTCTCTCCTATTTAGTTATTTACTGTCTTTTTGAGACAGGGTCTTGCTATGCAGTCCAGTCTGGCCTTGAGCTCACTTGTAGCCCAGGCTGGTCTCGAATTTGCAACAATCCTCCTGCCTCAGCCTTCCGAGTGCTGGGATTACAGGCTTTTTCTAAATTTAAAGAGAAAAGAAAAAAGAAAAAAAATAAAGAGAATGAATGAATGATCAAGTAATTATGCTAAAATGTTAACCCTCAGAAAAGACATGCCTGGCAAGTGCAAGGTCATGAGCTCGATTCCTGGTACCAGAAAAAAACCAAAACCAAAAAAAAAAAAGAAAAGACAGGTAAAGAAGAACTCATTTACAGTGTTTGGAAATTTTTTTTAAAAATTACTACAGTAAACAGAAAAATTTGAGAATTGTCTCAGTACTGCTTTGTGTGCACTTTCCTGGCTTCCCGCCTCTGCGTTTGTATTTCTTTCTTCCTCATGCAGGCTCTGTTTCTCTATTTCCTTCCCCATGGCTCCTAGCACAACAGTCTTTTTTCTTTTTCACTACCCCTCATTAGTAAATTCTTCTAATCCCAAAAGACCTTAACTCATCCTACATTAGAAAATGATTATATTTCAAAATAATCAATTATCTCAAATATGTTTTGCCCCATTGCTTCATTGAAAACTTATATGAGTTTTAATGTTTTTAAGCCTGCCACTGAAACCTTCCTTTAAATGAAAGTACTTCCTACTTGACCACAAACAGAGTATTTTCCCAGTGTGAATCAAAGCACATGGTGCAGCTGGCCATGATGGTGCACGTGTGTAGAGCCAGTACTCGGGAGGCTGAGGCAAGAAGATCACCTGAGGCAAAAGGATCACCACAAGCCTGGGTTCCATAGTGAGTTCAAGGGCTGGGGATTTAGCTCAGCGGCACAGTGCCTGCCTGGCAAGCGCAAGGGCATGAGTTCGATTCCTGGTACCAGAAAAAAACAAAACAAAAAAAAAAAGAGGAGCATAGTGAGTTCAAGGCCAATCTCAACTACATAAGGAGACCCTGTCTCAAAAAAAAACAAAACCAAAACCAAACAAACAAAAAGTGCCCTGCTGGTAGGTTAGGGGGATAAAACAAGGTATGCAACGCAGACACAATGTATTATAGGATCCTATTTTTCAAAATAAATCAACTAAGCCAATACATTTTTAAAAATCCAAAGGCTCACATACCAAATAGTTATTAATATGTTAATTAACAGTGATAATACATATTGGCACCAAAAAAATATCAGCTGAATGAAGGAATACATGAACGAACATAAGCATCTACAGGATGCGAGTGCCAGGAAATTTCACGTTATATATTTTATAAATTATAAAGACCATGTTTTGCTTTTGTTCCCTGTCACCAAATCTCCCCTTCCAAAAATAGCAGCCATAAATTCCTAAAAACTTTCCTAAATCCAATTTGACCCTCAGATTTAGAGTCAGGGAGCCCCTGTGGCTGGCAGTGGTGGCGAACCTTTAAGAGACGAACGCCCGAACTGCAACCCAAAGCCCACTTATTTATCTGGAAGTGCCAACACTGCAATTAAACCTGAATACTGAGGTTTTAGTTTAGAAAAAACAACTCGTACGTTAACCTCTTTTGTCTTAAAAATAACACACGTGCCACAGGTTCTCACTACCACTGCCTATTGTAACAAGATGACGTGACATAAAAGTTAGGGCAGGTGTCCCTCAATTCTCATAAACAGGGACAAAAATGTTTCTAAATGAAATTCAGAGCCCATCAACTGAGGAACAGATAAAAAAGATATGATATTTTTATATAATGGAGTACTACTCAGGCATAAAGAAGGATAAATTAGAGACTTTTATAGGTAAATGGATGCAACTTAAGACCATACTCATAAGTAAAGTAAATCATACTCATGTGTAAATACCATATTGTCTCCCTGGTGTGAGAAACTCAAAGAGTAAATGAAGTCTAAAATGTGCAATAGATAATTGTAAATGGGCGGAAATTGTTCAAAAGGAAAAAGGAACTAGGATTCGTGAAAGGACAGTAGGCAAAAGGGAAAAAATGCAAGTCAGTTATACTATTAGTATCTCTTAGTTCATTAAAAAGGAAGGTTTGTGGTAATATAGATTGGAGAAATTTTTATGCCCCTATCTTATATCCCGAGCAACTACTTTAAAGATAACAACATGCAATGTAGGGGCTGGGGATTTAGCTCAGCGGCAAAAGCGCCTGCCTGGCAAGCGCAAGGTCGTGAGTTCGGTTCCCGGTACCGGAGAAAAACCAAAAAAAAAAACATGCAATGTATTAACTATTATTATTTTCCTAATATTTTGTTACGAAGTTTTGTTTTACCTTTTTTCCATAAAATAAAAATTTAAAAAAATGAAATTCAGAGAGCTCTTCTCCCAGCATTTCTTTTTTTTTTTTTTTTTTATCTTTTTGAGACAGGGTCTCACTATGTAGTTCAGGCTGGCCTTGAGCTCACTTTGTAGCCCAGGCTCGTCTCAAACTCGCAACAATGCTCCTTCCTCAGCTTCCCGAGTGCTGGGATTACAGGCGTGCGCTACCACGCCCAGCTTCCCCAGCATTTCTCAGTGCTTAAAGATACTACTGATATATAACAACAGTGCTTCAGTCTCTTTAAAATTCACCAGCAATCTTTCTCTTTCAACATCTTTTCTGCTTAAACTAACCCTGAATCAGATTAAGTGTAACTGGAAGACATCTATAAAATAAGCGTAACTGCCAAGCATAGTGGCATACACCTATAATCCCAGCTCTCAAGAGGATGAGGCAAGAGAATCGCTGCAAGTTTGAGCCAGCCAGGGCTACACAGTGAGTTCAAGGCTAGCCGGAACTACACAGTGAGACCCTGTCTCAGAAAAAAAAAAAGAGTAACCCTCTACATACTTCATAGAACTTAAAATCATACAAAGTCTTTTTAATAATAATACAAATTTAGAGGGCGGGGAATATAGCACAGTAGCAGACCACTTGCCTAGAACATGCAAGGACCTGGGTTCAATTCATAAAAAAAAGAAGCCCAATTCAGATTTAAAGCACGAAAAGCCACGCATGATGGCACAGACCTGTAATTCCAACACTGGTAAGAGGAAGCAGAACCAGGAGTGCTAAGTCCAGCCCGGGCAATTTAGTGACTGAGTGACCCTGTCTAGGCTGGAAATCATGCTGCTGGGTGGCAGATCCCATTCTGAGATTTTGAGAAACAGGGTTCTGCGGAAGGTACTACACAGGGAAAAACAGACAGATACCACTGCTGTTTAGACACTGCCCCATCTGCAACAGCTCAACGGGATGCTGGGGGAAAAGCGCAGCTCCCCACAGGAGCAGTCGGTCCTCCGCTCCCCCGGCGCGGCGCATTCCTAATTCACTCCGCCCTGCGTCTGTTAGGAATAGCTTCAAGTGCAAAGGCTGCGATGCCACACTCTTCTTCATTATGCACAGCTTATTAAAATTGAAATTTCACTATTTGCAACTCGACCAAATTAGTGGCTCAAATTACCATGTGCTATTAAGAGTGAGGCATTTATTTTAAGGGAGGGAATCAGGATAAACATGGCCTGGATCAAAACTGGAACAGGCTAGGAAACTCAAGGGTCTCTCTCAGTTCTACGTCTACCATGCAAGCTTGGGAAAATCAGAACCCCTCCACACAGCAAAGCCTCAAACTGTCAGGCCAGGACGATGGCACGGTGCCCTGCCTAAGCACCTGTGGACTGGAAACCCGGAAGTGCAAAGTGGGAATAGTTTCCTGAGAGGACCTTTTCTCTGGGAATCTGTTTCCCACTCTCAGACAGGAACAGCTGTAGATCAAAAAGCAAAAGGCGATCCGGGCCGGCCCTCCAGCTCCATACCTGCTCTTCTTCAATTCTGCGCTGTAGTGTTTCGATGTAATGCTGGACGGCCATGTAGATAAACCGGTACTGTGCTTCTGTCTGGACCATCCCTGACCGCTGAGACCGCACCATCTGAATGGTTTTGGGAACGTCAATGTCACAGTCGACACCTGCAAAGCAAACACCATGAAGCAGCAGGGGAACCGCAGAGCCAGGCTGCAGCTGTGCAGTGCAGCCTCCAGCAACTCAGAGAGAAGCAGATGTGGCCACTACTGCTCTAGCCCCGAGGGCCACAGGGCTGGACTTCTGAGCAGTGCCAATGACGCCCCAAGACACAACAGTGGGGAAGGTCAGGATGCCCCTCTTCCTAAAGGCACCGCCCCATGCTGGAAGAAAGGACCAGGTGGTAGGGGAACCCTGAGGCATCGCAAGGCCACAGCAAGGGGGCCCCTCCCCCCTGGACTCCACTGTATGCCCAGAGTTCAAACGGCGTCACTTCTGTTCTCGGGCAAAGCGAAGGCGGCCCAGACCAGTACAAAAGTCCCTTCACACGTGAGTTCTCTCCCCTGGTTATTTTCCGTGGCCCTGTCCTTCCTGAAACTACAGATAGGAGCCGTGGCTCCGTGCCCTCCAGATAACCTACCTTTCTCTCTGATGATGTCAATGAGTATATCGATCACGATGAATGTCCCTGTCCGGCCAATGCCAGCACTGTGAGCGAAAGGACGAGAGGCAGGGACAGAGGAGTCATTCGTGGGGGTCTTGCACACAAAACCAAGCTATTAACATTCATAGAAACAATGCCTGCTCCTGGGAGAATTTCTAAGATGGTCTCTCTATCTGCAAATATATTAGCAAAGAGCACAGGGCTTTGGGGTCAGCCTAGCCTACACCTGCAGCCCAGCCCTCCATGCAGTGTGCCAGAGGGCACCTCTCTGCCCCTCTGTCTCCTCACCTGTGAAGCGGGGACACAGGTACACACCCTACAGAGCTGTTGTGAGGTTCAAACGTGACTAATGGAGGAAAACACTGAGCTCAGAGGCTGGCGCCCACCTGGGCTCAATAAATGGTAGCTTAAAAAACCTGAACAAAAAAAGTTTCATGTGCATGTACTTGCCACCTGAGACTGGGGGTACCAAGCTTTGCCCCATATAATCAGGAAGCCAAAATTGGATCACCAGTAGCCACAAACTACAGAGGCCACACACGCTTTCTACTGAAGGCCTAAGCAGGAAGCAGTCAGAATTTCACAAAGCAGGCAAGTGTGGCACTGGGGGAAAGATTATGTCTTATTTCCATGACAGAAGAGAATTGAAGCACAGTCAGACATGAATCCTAAATTATTCTATTAAAAAACACACACAAAAAAAACTAGCTACACTGAGGGACCCTTGAGAACAAGGACTGGGGCCCAACCCACCGCCACCCCCAATATCTGACAGTCCTAGAAGGCCCATGAGAAACATACTTTGGGGTCCAAGTGTCCCTTAATGCAGTTCATCCACACCTCAAATAGACCTTAACGCTTTCCTACAGTTAAAGAGCTGGGGCAGGTAGGTAAAAACAAGCTCTGAAGCCAGGGCAGGCGGTGACTGTCACCTGCAGTGCACCACGACGGGGCCCGCGTCCATGATGCTCTCCTGCTTGTGGTGGACCTCCTCCAGGAAGTCCAGCACGCCCCCGGGGTCACTGGGCACACCGTGGTCCGGCCAGGTCCGAAAGTGGTATTGCCAGACCGTTCTCTCCGTATTCCCCTGGAGTAGAGCCAAGAAAAACCAGAACAGAATTAAATAAATCAAGGAGTCGAGGGACCACCTGGTTCCAAGCTATGCTAGATGCTGCTTAAGCCAGAGGACCAGAATCTCCCACACACCACCTGAAGGTCCTTCTCATCACTTTTTCCCAGCACACTGCTTCCGCAGGACCCGACGGGGCATCCTGCCTCTGTCATGAGAACTAAGACGCCTGGTAAGGCAATCTGCTCTGGGGGAAGGGCAAACCCGAACACCTCTTCGAAGCACCAACACAGGCAACGTCCCCTCCCTCCTCGGCCCAGTGGTACTCAGCTCCAGAGGCAACTATGTCCCTAGGGACTCAGGTCCCTTCGAGGAAACAGGTATCCCAAGACATCTGTCCCCCTTCGTCACCTCTTACACCCAAACCCCAGCAGGTACACACATGGGCTTCTATTATGGTATCACTGTATTTTAAACTCCTGTTTAGTGCTAAGTAGGTAAGACAACGAGCTCTCCAAGTCAGATAATGAGATCTGGGCTCAAAACCTAGGCATTCGCATGCACTATGGCACATCTCGCACCCACACTCTATTTGCAATAGGGGAACAGTGGTCTCTGCCTCTCCGTCACACACACACATGCGCAGAGTCCTGAAACACAGCCTCTGCCCAGCAGACGTAAGACTCCGGGCACTGTGGCCATCTGGAGGACAATGATAATTAATGAGGACCCACACTACAGAAGACTAAAAAGCATCACGATTCAGCGTGTATCCAAAGCAGGGCATGGGAACAGCACTACTCACTGCTATACTTCTTCCTAAGTACCTCAGGACAATCCAAGAAGCTGAGCGACACTTTTAAAAGGCATTTTTTTTAAAGACAGAGAGCTGGTAACTAGACCAACATCCACCACCAGTGAACTTTAGAACATCCAAGGAATCTGAGCCACAATTAAGATCTTTCTGCAAATTATATGCATTTAATTTGCTGAAGTCAAGGAGGAAAAAAAAATGCCTTGATGTTACTGAGTGACCTGAAAATCAGGCACTACGTGGGTCACAGAAGGCCAGCCAGGGAATGTGGGGCCAGCCCTGACCTCACAGCGCCGCCCACCCTCATCCTCAGTAAATGGCCAGTGAGGCCCTGCCCTTGCTCCTCCTCCCGGGCAGCCAGGGAGGTGGCTCCATGAGACCACAGACAGCAAAAGATTTGCAAACGAATGTCAAATGCTACGCAGAAAGCAGGAGCAGGATGGGTCCCATGTCAGTATCCACAGCAGGGTACAAAACACAAGCCCGTGCAACATGTCCCAGCCCCTGCTTCTCAGGAAGAGAGGGGAAAAGGTCATCGCTCCCACTGAGGGAAACTACTGCTCCCCAGAAACACTGAACAATGGGAAGCGAAGCCTACCTGGGCTCGTGGCCCGGCATCCCCCAAACCTGTCATTTCTATCTGACAGCCACTCTCTTCCGGCCCCTCCCCTACCTCTGACACAGACTGAACCTTCACGCCCTCGCATCGTCAGGAGACCTGCGCCCACTCCGGCCTCACGCACGCAGGCAGCCCCATCAGCGCCCAAACACAGCTGCACAGCTTCCTGCTCTCCTCCGGGAGCCACCGGGCTGCTGCACTCTTGCTTTCTACCCGCTTCCTCCCACCCTGTCCCTTCCTGATCCAGCGAGGACTCCATGGACCATGGTGACAGCTGCTCTCTACCACATGGCTCTGGCACCATGACCTCCTCGCCAGCCACTGTGGCACCCCGCTCCGCAGGCCTGGATGAACCACCTCCCATGTGCATCGTGCCCAAGGACCAGGGCACCCTTGCAGAAAAATCACACAACCAGGCGATGGGGGTCTAAACACGCACACCCCCATTTCCACCCGGCAGCAGCACTGCCCAGAAACTTCTGGATTTCTCGCCTTCTCTGCACAATGACTACTCCTACCTCTCCCCGAGTTCAAATATTCCATTTCTTCTCAGTCCCTTCAACTCCCAAGGGAGGGTCGTGCCTCACACCTCAGGGAGAACACAGAATAAACCCGCTCAGCTCGGCAGTGCCTTGGCATCTGGGGGCACCTGTTCCCCTGCCCTCTTTCTCGCAGAGAAGAAATGCCCCCATGGTGATCAAAACCAACCCCTCAGGATGCCTGCACCCCATCCCCACCGACTCCCGTCACATTCTGCTCCACCAGCTCCTCCGGCCACCCCTCTAATTTCCTCCCGCTGCCACTGCCCTGGTCAAGCCTGCCACCTTTACCATCCACCACAGCGCCACCTCCTCGGTCCTAATCCCCAGCCCTCTGGATGCAGCACTCCCGTCCCCTCCAGTCCTACAGGGCAGAGGTTTGATCCCAACATCCAGGAGGCTGAGGCAGGAGGATGGTGGGTCCGAGGCCAGGCTGGGCTACACGGTAAGGTCACTCAACGACTAGAATAAATGAATGAATGAATGAATGAATGTCCAAGTGCCTGGTAGACATCTCTACTCAGAGGCTTAGCCCAAAGTGTCCAAAATAAAATGAACCACAGCCCACACATCAGCACTTTGGTCAGCTTTCCTGCCACTCGTCCCAGCACCAAGGCCCACTCAAGACTCAACCCTCTGAGACACCTTGGATGCCTCTCCTCCCTGCAGTAACCAAATATCCCCGCAGGCTTCTCCCCAGGCATCATACCCACTGCTTCTCCTTTAGCTCATGCTGGCATTTTATGTAACATCCACTTGTAACAGAAGCACTGAGGTGCAACAAAAAAGAACTGATGAGGATTCTAGGTATGTGGAGAGGAGGCCAACAACCAAGACCACTATATGGACACCCCACAGCCTCCTGGGCTCCCTGGCTCCAGGCTCCCAGTCACCGTGGGTCCCACGCCCCACCCCAGGGCCAGCCGAGAGCTTCCCGTCCTGCTGCTTTGCACGGTTCACCTGACACAAGAACCAGCACAGGTTCTGAGCGGATCGATGGGTGGTAAAGTCCAAATTTCTCGGCACACAGTAAGACTCTTCCAACCTCTCTCTACCCAACTGTTTCCTCAACCCGGCCATCTCTGCTCCCCAAAGCCCATTTTCCTGCAGGCCCCACTTCAGTAATGCGGCTCAAACAACACCTCCTCCTGCAGGCCTGCTCCTTCCATCTCCTCCCTGGAAGCCCCACCCTAAAGGTGTGACTCTTGTAGCAGCACGCTCCAGCCAGAAGGACGCTCGGCCTTTGTGGTGTCAGGACACTTCAGCTGGGTTCTGTAGCCTGTGTCTGGTCTGTCTTCTCGCTGTTGTGTGAACAGGATTCCACAAGGGAAAAATCCGGTTTCCTTCACCTTTGTGTCTCCAAAAGACCTCAAGTAAGTACATTCCTCTAAAGAAATCAAAATGATTCCAAATCCAACCCTGCTTTATTCTGTAAAGTTACTACTGGTCTGTTATACTAATCCTGATGTATGAAATTTCATCACCAACAGACCTCAGGACCTCTGCACTTGCTGCCCTCTCTGTATGGCACCCTGCTCTTCTGACTCTCTGGATGCCTGGCTCCTCCAAATTAGGTCCTGGCTCAAGCATCACGTGCTGAGAGAGGCTCTCCCCATCCATTCCATCTGAGAACCCAGTCCCTCAAAAACATGTCATCCCGTAGCCTTCACAGACCTATCATAATGCAAAAGCTTAGTTGGTAGTACTTTCAGATCTGGAATTCTGCTTGGCCTGAGGGCAGGGACAATGCCTGTCATGTTCATAGTGTACCAGGAGCCTGAACGGTACCTGGCACATAAAAGGCACCAGACAGAGACTACGGAATCAACAATGCATGTGTGCTGCATGCCAACAGGGTAGTGCAGGACCTTGGGTGGCCACACAGCAAAGCAGTCAGCAAAGGCTCTAAGATACGACAATATACTTACTTGTCCAACCTTCGAGAGTTTAAGTTCTCTTAGCGTATAGTCATGAGCGGCACTCTCTTTGACATTCCTGACACGCATGACCCCATACTCTTTGAGAGCATACTCATCCGGCCAGTACTTGACACATTTGCTCTGGAAGAGAGCAGCAGAGGAAAGATTGTTAATCTCTACAGATGCTGAATAAAAGCTTGAGCCAGCAGCAAACAAGAGCTCAAATGTTGCTTAATGAGCATCACCATAGAAAGTGGCCTGCCTAGCATGCTAGGTCCATACAAAAGGAAAGAAAAAAGGTGTATATGGGACTAGATAGAGGGGAGAGAAAAGGAGCTGTGGCAGAATGGTCTGCTCCAAGCCACAAGTCATGAGAACCAAGGCTTATTTATTTAGCCCTCAAGAAAAAAGATGGTCGACCGCCTGTGATCCCAGTACTCTGGGAGGCTGAGGCATGAGGACTGCAAGTTTGAGCTCAGCCTGGGCAACTTAGCAAGACCCTGTCTCAAAATTTTAAAAATGGGGCTGCTTCTTCTACATCTAGATCCATCTCACAGCTACTACACACATCGCTTTCCCTGAACTGGCAATGCCAAGCCTGAGAACAGGTGGACTGAAGCTGGATGTAGCTTAACGTAAAGGCACTGGGTTTCAACCCCCAGTGCCATCACTGACCAGAACAAAAGGGTACAAAAATGGAGGGACCAAGCAAGTCAAGTGCTTGTAGCAGCCACTGACTTTTGCACGCTAGACGCCTGCCGGTTACTCTGCAGCAAACATGGGCAAGGACTCCAGAGGTGGAGGTGGACGGGCTGCCCGCGAGCCAGACTGTCTGGTTCACTTCCGCACCCGTGCAGGAGGACTCGTGCCTTACCTAACCCAAGTGTGAATAACTCTATCACAGAACGGCAGCTAGAGGCTTCTGCGCCAGCTGCTTCTTCTACATCCAGATCCGTCTCACAGCTACTACACACGTCACTTTCCCTGAACTGGCAACGCCAAGCCTGAGATAGCTGCTACCTTCGGGAACAGGTGGACTGAAAAATATGGCACCAAGGAAACTGTGCCTGCTACCAAAAAGGAAGCTATTGTGCTGAATGACAGATGAGTTTGTATCTATTTGGTGCTGTGTCCTGGACAAAAAAGGCTGTCTTATTCTGTTTTGTTTTGTTTTGTTTTGTTCCTGGACCGGTCACTCACACCACCTTCCAAACCCACCAAGATACAATTATCAGCAAATGAAATTCACCTTATGTATTAGGAAGACGAAGAAATGTACAGTTATACAACCAGCAGTAAGAGCACAGCTGCAGACATCCACGGTCAATGATTAAGTGAAAGAAAACAAACAAGATAGCAGGGAGGCCTACCAAAGGACATGGTGTCCTTATGACTATTATTCTGAATTCCACTCGGCCTCCAGTATTTGGTAGATCTAAACACCGTTCAAAGGATTTGATACAAATTACATTTTCCCCAAATATGCCCTTATAATACGGGCTGTAATCAATACTTTACCGGCCAATCAGTTCAGAGGATGGCTCCGGTCACCACAGAGACCTCAGTGGGGAACACAAAATTAAATCACGACTGTACTCATCTGCAGGCTGCTGCAGCCCTCATTCTGGTTCCCAAACTCTCGCGGAAACCCCGGCAAAGCAACACTAACTGTGAGGGTGAATACACTGTCTTTCACATTGAAGCACCGGGATCGAGGGGTGTCCCCAGCTGGCTTTCCTTCCATGCTCTGGGGACACAAGAGCAGGCTGTGTGAAAGGCCTGCAGGGAAGAGACAAGCCCACGCCTGGCGTGCCACCTCTCTACACCCCCGAAGTGAGGAGGAAAATGTGGAAGGAGACAGGGATGAGGTGGGAGGAACGCAGCAGGGCAATCTGGCCCGGGCCCCAACTGTTCTAGGAGCTTCCAGCAGCTCTGTGGATAGGGACTGATTTTTCACCCCTGCAGCAACATGAGACACATCCCCCCGCCCCAAGGGCTCTGAGAGCAGGCGACCTCATCCGCCTCCATCCAAGAAAGAAGCAGGACAGAGGCTTCCGCTCCCTTCCCGTATTCAGGCACCAACCTCTCACCTGAAGCAGGAACCGTGAAGACGCTGCGAGTGGGCCATTAATTCAAACCCACCTAAGGTTACTGCGGCTAGAGGAGGCCCTTGTTTCACAGTGCCCAGATTGGGCCCTCCAGCGGCGCAGAAAGGAACCAACCATGAGTACAACCGTGAAAATCCTATGAGGTCACACCGCCCTGCAGGCCTGATGTGCGAGTCACGGCAGGAGGGCTCAGATCCCACACCCCCGCCTGCCTCGGAGGCACCTGCTCGGGGCCACTGTTACCGTCCACCCACTTCTTAAACTAACGAAAGGGTATCGAGAACAGGACTCTGACTGGAAGAGAAACAGAAACAAAGGACTTCTGCCATTGTAACACCCCCGCCCTGGGGGCTGGGCCCACTTTGGGACAACGCAGAGGCTGCCTTTCCATAAGACTTGTCTGCTTTTCCCTAGGTGTGGGCTGTTGCGACTTCCAACACCCTGAAGCACAGTGCAGGGTGTGGGAGATGAGTTCTAGGTTACGCTGCGGTGAGAGTGCACTGGGACAGGCGTTCAAGAGGCGACAGGCAGTTTACTAGCATTTCCAGCATGCGCACTCTATGGCCCGCAACCCCTCCTCCTCACACGTTGCATGGGAAGGGACACCCAAGGCGTTCACTTCGGCACTGTATGTAAGAGCAAATCCCACGACGCCGAACATCTACAGCGTGACGGTTAAATAAATTATGACACACCCACACCACAGCGTACCACACAAGTGCTCACGAGAATGAGACAGGCCGCCAGGTACTAAGGGAGGGAGCAGGGCATGTACCTAGTGGGGAGGAAGAAAGCCACGACGCACAGTGAAGTCACCGTGTGCGAGCTCTGTTCAGTCGGGAAACAGTACACAGTGGGGCGCAGCTCAGTGGTACAGCACGTGATTAGCATGTGCAAGGCCCTGGGTCCCACACCCAGTGCCAAACATGAGAAAGAAAGGAAATAGTACTCCATGCTTCTAAAGGTGCGTACGCATAAAAAATGCCAAGGCGGCACTGTCAAAGAACAAAGAGCCAGCTGGGAAGGGGGCTTTTATGTGGGGGCACAGGGTGGCAGCAAGGGAGACTTTAACCTTCGCTACAACAGCCTGAGCATTCATGTGAATGTACCGTTTGCACAATTCAAATTACTTCTTAATTCTTCAAAGTGGTGAGAAGTGCAGGTTACATGAGCAGGAAACCACTGTCACTTCTCAGAGCTCTCGTCAGCCCCAGGGACCAGCTGGCCTCGTCTCCCTCCCTCTCTGCTTCTGGATACAACGGAGCAAGAGGGTGTGGACTCTCCCTCGTACCTTACCTAAACACTGCAAAAACGAGCAACACCAGCGACAGAATTCACAGGCAAAGACACTAACCGGCAAATGATGAAAAGACCCAAGTAAAACACGAGGTGAGGAGACCCACAACGTCTGCGAGGAGGAGTAAGCGCAGATTAAACACTGCGCAGCAAAAGACCAACCAAACTTCGGCAAAAAAGGTTACTCAAGATGGATCACAGACGGGAAAGAGAACCAAGTCAAATAAGCACGGCCCCAGAGGCTATGGGATGACTGGCGTTCTGGGACAGGGTGGGACCGGCTACATGTTTAAAGAATTGAAGGTGAACAATAACCACATCTGAAGAAAACTGTAAATCTAAAATCTAAGAAGCAACAGGAGTCCCAGCAAAAGACCATAAAGGAAATTATACCAAGACACATCTTAATCAATTTCATCTACTCCCTTTTCCCAAAGGGTCAGTAAAAGTGAGCTTAATTTGTTTATTCCATTTCTTTTCTTCCTTTTCTCTCTTTTAAGATACGGTCACCCTGTGTTTTCCAGGCTAGCCTTGAAGCCACAGCGATCCTCCTGCCTCAGCCTCCTGAGTGCTAGCATCACAGGCGTGCACCACGACAGCTGGCTTTGTTTATTACATTTACAACAAGGCCCACCTGACACATACAGTGCTTTAAAAATATTTTCTCTGGGCTGGGGCTGTAGCTCAGTGGTAAAGCGCTTGCCTCGCATACATGAGGCCCTGGGTTCGGTCCCTGGCGTGCTGAAAGAAAGAAAAAAAACTTTATCAGAAAAGATGAGCCTGTGTACCTTTCCTCGCTCCACTTCCTTCGTCGTCATGACGATCACACGAGAGTTCTCCTGGAACACCATTCGCCAAAAGTCGTTCACCGTGTTTTGCAGGCAGCCTTGTGTGGCAATGTAGCTCTTTTTGGGCTTTGAATTGTTGCACTTGGTTTCAAATTCAGGCTAGAAATTTAGGAAGAAAATCCTTCAGACATCTGAAAGTCGCCTTTGGAGTGAAAGAAGGATTTAAAACACAAAGTGAAGCTAGCAGCATGCGGCCGGAAGACACCGAGGAGAAGCAAACTCACCATGATGATGTTGGCGTTGATGTAGTCAGACACAGGCTCGTTGGGGTCACCGTCGTGGAGGACGACTCTGGTGTGATCAACTGCAAGGAAGAGAGAGCACAGTCCCGAAAGGACTCAGGCGGCCGCGGGGAGATCAGCTCATTCTTCCCCTAGGCCAGTCTCCAAACGCTTGGGCACCGCCAGACGCCTCCTAACGCTTTCGTCACCATCCCTTGTCTTGATGAGGGACTACAGGCTGCCGTGCGCAGAGGGGCGGGTGAGGGGTGGGTACAAAAAGGCCTTTACAATTTTTACGGGTGTGGTGGTGGTACTGGAGTTTGAACCAGAGCTTTCCACATGCTACACAAGCACTCTACCACCCAGCAGTACCCTCAGCCCCTTTTTAAATTTTATTGGACCAGTGTCTTGCTATATTGCCCAGGAAGGCCTGGGACCCTCGATCCTTCTGCCCCAGCCTCCCGAGTGACTGCAGTTACAGGTGCGCACCACTGTGCTTCACCTCCACATCATGTTTGTAACTTCTTGTGAGTTGAAAATCGTTTCAAACCAAAAAGTCTTTTGGCTTCTGTTTTTAAAAAGAAGATTAAACCAGGTGTGGCGCACGCCTGTAAATCCCAGCATTTGGGCAACTGAGGCAGGAGGATCACCAAGAGTTCAAGGCCAGCCTGAACTACACAGCAAAACAGGTCTCAAAAAAAAACCCAAATGTGGTGGCACACGTCTGTAATCCTAGCACTCAGGAGGCTGACGCAGAAGTTGAAGGCCAACCTAGGCTACACAGTAAGTTCAAGGCCATCCCCAACTACATAGCAAGACCCTGTTTCAAACCACCAAAACAGAAGATTAAAATACAGACAAATGATATACCTGAGATATGCTTCAAAGTAATTTTGGGAGCCAAGAGAAGTGAACCCAACGTACAAAAGAAACAAGATGGGGCTTGAGCTGATAACTGTTGAACCTAGGTGATGGAGATGGATGTGCATAGGTTTTGTCCACTTCTGAATATATTTCCGATTTTCCATAATAAAAATTTTTTAAAGTAAGGTAGAATAAAATACAGTATGTGAAAAACAAGATTCTGACAGTATCAACTAACCAAATTCTCTGCAAAAGTACATGATATAGGCAGTACTCAGGAGACTGAGTCAGCAGGAGGACTGCTATGAGTTCAAGGCCAACCTAGGCTACATAAGCAAGTTCAAGGCCAGCCTGTACTACATGGTGAAACTCTGTCTTAAAAAGAAAAAAAAAAAGTATATTAAGGGCATCAAAATCTGAGTGCTTTATCTAAGGGAACATATTTTACAATGGGAATGAGCAATACAGTTGTGTATCTTTATTAACAGAATCATGGCCGGACATGTGGCACACACCTGCAATCCCAGCACTTAGGAGGCTGACACAGGAGGATCCCTGAGTTTGAAGCCAGCCTGGACTACATATTGAGATCCTGTCCCAAAAACCAAAAAATAACCAAACAAAAAATAATAATAGAATCATGTTTTTTTGGCCTGGACTCCACATCTTTAAAGAGTTAAGATGTGGGCTGGGAATGTGACTCAGGGGAACGGTGCTTGTCTAGCATGTACCAGGCCCTGGGCACAGGCCTTAGCACTGCAGATGAAAAGAGAAATAAGTGAATCAGAGAAAATACCAGATTTGGACCATTAAGAGGGGAAAAGGCAGTATTATATTAAAAACTGCCAACTACTGTTGTACTGCTACAGCCCCTGAGCAGAAGTGAAAACTCAGACTTAAAAAGAACCCCGCTTCCCCAAGGACATCAGGGTCTGCTGTAGCTCTAACCACTTCTCTGCAAACTCCCCATCCCCTCTGCTCAACATGAGAAACACCTCCATGTCCACCTCTCATCTGCTCCCACCCGAGGCCCCGTGCATGTGATATACACGGGTGCCAGGCACATGTACATACATACGCAGCAAGAGAAAATGTCAACGCTTTGTGCACACCCACACTGGGTCTATAATAACTGACAAAGTCACTCTGACCTGAAGAGGCATGTGAGTGTTGCTCTCCAAATCTGACAGTGCACCTCAATAAATAAACATCCTGAACACTGAAATATATCTACACTCATGTGTAAGATGGCTCTAAACAAGGCTTATTTTTCTTTTTTTGGTACTGGGAATTGACCCAGGACCTTGCACTTGCCAGGCAGGTGCTGTGCCACTGAGCTAGCCCAACAAGGCTTACTTTTAAGCTAGTTAAATATATTACTGTACACATGTATTGCCATCAATCAATGTATCAGCTGAAAATTTTTCTTTTACATGAGGGATATAAATAAATATGTGCTCTAAATATCCTTCCCCTCCCTCCAGTGCACCAGAGCTGTTCCTCCCACTTACTACTCCTTGCACACTTGTTAAAATCGTCTATGAAATGGGGACGATGAGAATGCCTGTTCCGTGCGCATGTGGCATGGATTAAGTGACATCAACATGCAAAGCACCAGGCAGAGCTGGACCTTTGCAGAGGGGAGCGAGGACTAGAGTCACGCCATTTCTGAGCTCCTCATCCAAGCTGTTATGGTTTATACTTAAATGTACCCAACCGCCTCGCATGCTCACAGGCAGGGTTCTGGAAGGTGACTGGATTACTGGGGCCTATAGCTGGCTTGCTGTTAGGAGCTGGGCCCCAGGTGGAAGAGGTGGGCCCACGGGGGTGTGTGGCCTAGAGGTTTCTCTCCCTCCCTGGCTCCTCCCTCACTCCCTGCTTCCTGTGCGCTGTGCTGTGAGCCGCTCTGCTCCGCCAGGCCCCTGTGCCCCGCTGCCCTGCCTCGGAGCCAGCCAAGTATGGACTGAAACATGAGCCAAAGGAAACCTCTCCTTAAATTGTGGGTGTTGGTCACTGTGTCTCAGTGACAAGAAAGTGACTGACACACAAGGTTGACATCTTTCCAGGCTCTTTTTCCCTTGCGGTTCAGCTTGGGCCCTGCCGGCAGTATCTGCACGCTAAGGGAGTCTGGGGTTCTCTTCCAAGTGGAGGGTAGGTATGCGCCCTTATCTCTAGGAACTGCAGCCTACAGAACAGCTGAAAGAGCCCCAGTAGTTGGCCTGCTTCCCAAGATTCAGGTCTGCCTTACCCAAACTCATGAGCCTCAGAATGGAAAGCAAGGGCACCAACCTTGGGCTCTGTGGCCTTGGGCCTGATTGGCACTGAACAGTCACAGCCTCCAGATTATGACACTCAGGGAGACTAAAAACTGACCTAACAGAAGGAAATGACCTTCTAGACAAGGCCTTCGAGTGGCAGTGTTACTCAGGAACCAGCAACCCAGAAACGGAATGAAGTCATCCACCCCCACCACAGCTGACACAGTGGACACTGCTTGGAATGTGAGTGGCTAAGGTCAAAGATCTGTTAACAGGAGCACACAGCCCCCGGGACTCAGTGACAAAGACTGAGGCAGGACGTGACACTTACAGGGCAGGATATTTTTGTATCGGTTTTTGTTTTTATTTTCTTGCCTCTGGCCCTCTTTTCGGCTGTAGAGCAGTTTACACTCCTGTTGCTGCAGCGTCTAGAAAGGAAGAAAAGTAAGTATTACCATGCGCCAGGAACACATACAAACAAGCAAGCCGGCCAGCCTGGCTCTGAGCTGCTTTAAGGAACTCACTGCTGGAAATGTCAAGAGTCCACGGAAAGCTGCGAGAACGCCCATCTGCATGCTGCAAGGCAAAAACACTGCAAGCACACACATCCAAAAGCAAAGGGCTCGCGGCAGAAAACTACTGTCCATTCATACAAAAGGATGCCCTGTGGCCGTATAAAGACGTTCTAGGAAAATGCTTATTGTCTTGGAAAGATGGTCTGAATTCAATGAAAGGAAGAGCCAGACATCTTTCACAACAGTGCAACATCAGCCACATGTCTGCCTTCACCTACGTCCCCAAGAAATGGCAGAAGAACACACCAAAAAGGTAACGGTGATCCGTGTTTTCAAGGTAGTGGGATTATGAAGCCCTCTTCTTTTGTCTTTCTCCCCTAAATTTCCTCCAGTGGTAAACAGAAAGCCAAAGTAATCAGGAATGGACGCCAATGAACACTGGTGTGGAGCTCACAAATAATCCATGTGGCCCACGCTCCCGAGGAGTTTATGACCTGCTTCCTATGGGCGACTGATTCAGAGCCGGCTGAGTGTGCTGGGGAGGATGAGACGGGCAGTGCTGCTGCCGCTCGGTGGTGCGCATGTTGCTCTGCCAGCGAAGCTTCAGAGTCCTCCTAGGCCAACACCTTGAGTCAGTGCCGCAGGCTGCCAGCCCATGTCTGCTCAGAAACCCACGCCCAGGAGGGACCCCAGCGGGACCTGGCAGTGTGAAGGGGACCCAGGGGGAGAGAGGCGGGATGTGAGCACCAAGGCACTCGGGGTCCCAAACCAAGCAGAGGAAGTGAAGTGGGAAACGGGACCAGGACGGGAGAGAGACTCCACCGGGCAGCCCAGCAGGGCGAGGGGAGGGGACCTGAGGAAGCAAAGAGGACAAGGGCGGCATCAGACCCTAGGAGGGACAAGCCAGGCTGAGGCGTACTCAAGGAGCGGGTTCACTTCATTTACAAGAAGTGCCTCTTCAAGGGACCCCTGGCTTCCAACAGGCTCGTTTTCTCTGTGTGCTTCTGTAGTGCTGGGCTCGAGCCCAGGGCCTCTAACAAGCCACACCCCAGCCCCCAGGGCTGGGTTTTAATGGGAAATCACAAATCGGCAAATCAAGAAAGTGAAAGCAAGCTAAAAAAAAATACCCAACTGTTTCTTCTACAAAATGCCAAAAAGGCCACCCTGAAAGATTTCTACAGAAGAGGCAGTCCGTATTTCACAACACCGCAACCCCTGTGTTACTTTTATTTCATTTGTCTGAATTTCAAAGGCAGGTATAAAAGTCAGGATTTTAAATTGGTATTTGACTCTTGGCTTCAAAACACAATATTCAGCCCTGACACAAAATTCATAACCGAAGTGTTCAGCTGGCTAAAACCTGGACAGAAGTAAAACATGACGCACGGAGAACTCTGACACCAACACGGGCACTCAGATGCTGGAAATGAGCGAGTACAGTAATTAAAGTCACCTGCCTTCTGCAAGCTGCATTTCCGGGAACTGGCAATTTGGGTGCATGAGGGAGGAGGGTCGCTCCTGATTTTTACACAGGTCACTAAGGTGAAGATCAAAAGGAAATTCAAACATTGACCTGAATCGGCGATTTAAGAATCAACCAAGCTGATGAAGTGAAATGACATCCAGGGACGTGGAAATAATGAGCAGCCCAGGTGGAAACAAACTCCACAGCATTCTAGCCTCCTGACGCTTCCTGTGTGGAAAGCACGCAGCCAGTCCATCTATAAAGTGGGTCACCTTGCTTCCTGGTGAATCACCTTACACTTGTCCTCTCCAAGGCCAATTTCAGGAAGTACACAAGCAGAAGACGGTTGCTGCTATTAAACCGTTACTGTGACATGAACTGCACAGCCTTGCTACTCTGCATGTGGTCTGTAGGCCAGTGACATCGGCATCACCAGGAAGCTGGTTAGAGACACAGGAGTAGCCTGGGCATAAGAGTCACCCCTTTCATCCCAAGTCTGCAGGAGGCTGAGGCAGGAGAACCTCAAGTTCAAGGCTAGCCTGGGTCTATGTAAAACCCTGTCTCAAAATAGAAAGGGCTGGGGATATAGGTCGGTGGTAGGGCACTCGCCTAGCATGCCCAGGCCCTGGCATCAGTCACCTGTACCACACACACAACCCTATTAGCTACTTCAAAACAGCCAACTGATTGCTGCAAGCATAGTAAGTTGCTTCACGGTGTCACAGGATATCAGAACGTTCTCCTCCGTCCACCTGCACCCCTGTACCTGTTAACCATCCTCTCCACAGCCCCCTCTCCCACACTCTTCCCAGGCTCTGGGAAGCACAACCCTACCTTCCATGCCTTTGAGATCAACTTTGGCCTCTACGTACAAGTGAACAATCCTGGCTCCGTCTTTGCAAGCTCTCACTAGAGAGCTAGAGACCGCCTCACCGTGTCAGGAACCGGCTCAGCATCCAGCACACAGCGGGCACAGGATGTGCAGAATGAGCAAATGAAGAGGAGGAGGAGGAGAGATGGGGCGGGAGGAAGAGAGAGGGCACAGGGACAAACCCCAGACCGCAGGTGAAGCCTGGGCACTACGGGCCCCGCCCTTGGAATCACCATAGGCGAATACCAGAGCAGCATTCCCCAGGCTTCAGTGACTCCAAAAGCACCTCAAGATGCTCTGCCATCTCTGCACACCACCCATAACATCACTTGTTTTCTTAAACTGACTTCTCTTTTCTCTCTGTAAGACTGATTTGTGAAGGAAACATGGAACCTGCATACACGAGAACCAGGACCACCTGCTGCCCATGGCAAGCAGCATGTTCTCAGATCCCAACAGGGGAGGCCTGAGGCTTCCTGGAAAAGACAATCTTAGCCAAGAATCACCTCACACACACCCTCAGCCCATGAAATCCAACGTTCCAGGGCAGGGGAGTCCTCATTGCTCTCCACAGCATCTGGGCTGGACCCCCCACCGTGTCTGCCCGCGGCTCCCTCACCCTGCATTAAGTTCCCAGTGTGTCCTCCAGATGGACTTGAGGTTTGAACAGTGTGCAGTCAAGTCAGGAGCTGGGCCCCAGAGACTCCCTCAGAAGGCAGCCTGGCACCCGCCCGCCCAGGCACAGTTGGCCGCTGACTGCCGGCAGCTGGCAGCTGTCGAGGACTAATAACGGCTAATGGTGCATCTCTCCCAGCTCCTTCCTTAGTGCTGTCAGCCCATCCTCAGTGGCGCCTGGGGCACAAGCTGCCTAAACACATTTCATTCTCAGCAGAAGGCAGCCGTCCATCTGCATGAGACTGCACATCAAAAGCTCTCAGAAACTGTGACCACGCACACTCTGCCCCCAGAGGCTCCCTAGCTGCGCCTGAGATCGGCAGCTACCATCGCTAAGGGGCACTTCCTCCCAGCACCGTGGCTCCAAGAGCAGGAAGCATGTCCAAGGTCCCTGCCCTTGAGGATACATCCTGCTCTGGTTCATCTTCACAGCCTCCTCACCAGCAGATCCTGGGGGCACAAAAAGCTGCTAACGACCTGTCACAGAGTTTCCAACCACATTGCCCAGGGCCTCGGCAGGGATGCTAATCATATGGCTTGAGACAGGTAGCAAAAAAGATGTGAAGCTGGGGCCCAGGCTGCAAGATACCTCATTTTCCCAAGAAATACAACGAAGTATCTGCACCAAATCTGGAACGTGCCAAAGACCTGCCACTAATTACAGTCACTTGGCTGCATGAGCCCAGGCAGAGCCAGAACCAGAGACTGCAGCAAACGACTCACCCAAAGCCTTGACCCATGGTGGGCTCCTAGCAGTGGGCAGCAGCACTACCAAGTGTGGAAGGGAACCATCTCGTACGTCCACAGCCATTCAGCACCCCTGCACTCCACCCTACACCCCTGCCAACCGAATGCCAAGAGCAGCAGCTCCCATTACTGACAAGCAAAACAGACCCATAGACTTCCAAAGCTCTCTGACCACAAACCACTGTACCTGGCAGCTGACTAGCATTTCCTGAGTGAACCTGGAGGAAGAGAATCCAGGAGAGGGGCAGGCAGCAAACAACTCTGCAGAGCCGGGGGTCTCCAGGCACCGTGAGGATGCTGCAGAGAAGGGCTTGCACCGCTCCGAGCAACAGGCCAAATCAGTAGGGGTGGGGCAGGGCGGAGGTGCCGCTGGGCTGGAGATGGGGCTCAGGTGTACAGCACTTGCCGAGCACGTGCAAGGCCCCCGCCACCGTGCCCAGCACCACAAAGGAGATAAACACGTATATACACACATACTAAAGACTATTAGGGCCAGAGCAAGCCATTGAACTACTCTGTATATGTGCTGTGACTGAGGAGTGAACCCAGGTCATTTCACCAGCTACATTCCCCACTCTGTTTATTTTTTCAGACAACGTCACACAAAGTTGCCCAGGCTGGGCCCAAACTTGCAATCTTTCTTCTGCCTTAGCTTCCCAGAGTGCTGGGATTACAAGCATGCACCACCCACGTCCAGATGGGTTACTGTACTTTTAAAGCCAAAGCTATATCAGCACAGTGGCATAAGTCTGTAACCCCAGCTACTTGGGAGATTATAGTTCAAGCCAAACCTGAACAACTTAGTAAGACCTTGTCTCAAAACAAAAACTTTTCCAAAGGACTGGAACAGCTCACTGGCATAGAGAACCTAGCACGTGCAGGCCCTAGCTTCAATCCCCAGGAGGGGAAAGAAGATACAGGATACAGATACTGAACAAGGAGGGGGCAGGATGAAGAGGGAGGTAACAAGATTTAACAAAAAGCTGGTGCCAGCCATGGTGGCGCACGCCTGTAATCCCAGCCCTCAGGAGGCTGAGGCAGGAGGATTGTTGTGAGTTCGAGGTCAGCCTGGGCTTCACAGTGAGTTCAAGGCCAGCCTGAACTGCATAACAAGACCCTGACTCAAAAAAAAGCTAGTAAATGTTACGGGCAGGT